CAGCGACACGTTGATTGGCCACCTTTTCACCATGCCACAAGTATACGACAGATATTCAAAGTGCACAGTGTTTTACCGACCCCCATCAGAAGCCGTATAAAAATTACCCGCAATAGTTATACCTAACGACAATAGCATGTCTATAGTACGCAACTGTCTTAACGGGCGATAGAAATTTGTAGGAAGTTCCCGTCGCCTCTATCTCTTTGAGCGGCCGGTAAAAGCCTCAGGAAAAATGAGCCAAGCATTTCAGTACAAGTCGTACAAGTATACATATACGTAGAAGGTCCTTTCGTCGACGAATCGATCGTTTGCCTAAGAGGGAAGGTAGAACAGCGCAAGGAACGTTTTATGGGGATAGTGAGCACATGTGCGTGTATATACTGGCGGCGGCAGTGCCGTGGGAAATGTGACACGCTCGGTCCTAAACCTGAAGCTACGCAGTGTGCCAGGATATAGAGGTCATCGGTAGCCGCAGGAACCTGATGTGCCCGATCCAAGAAACTTTAATAGCCGTACACGATAAATCACTGATATATACTTAATTCGCGACACCATCGAGTGAAACTACACTTCTGGTTGGCACACTCGATCTCATTGAACATATCATTGGGAACTCTGAATCTTCGGATTAATTATATACGATATTTATTTCCGGAGTACCGTCACTTTTTATGGTTCTTAAGCAACTTTATGGTATTGTATGTTGTGGCTGTTGTTGATGAAGTGACGATGGCATTATTTGTAGATTAGGAAAGGTTCCAGTGAAATTTCAATAGGATATAGAATACCGAACTTGACTATGTTATATGTTGAGGATTCTTATCTGTTCATTGTGCCTTGACTTTACGGTATAAAGACTCCTTCTCGATAAATTAAATAACTCATTACCTACGGACAACCGGGACGTCGCAACAATGCAGATTCGATCGTTTGGTATTTCTTGTCGGTAATGGCGTCCCTCGGGAATGCCGTTGATCGCTGAAAGAAAAGTTACAGGGGTCATGCTTGGTTCACGACAAGGTACCGGGATGAAAACTCACTTCGACCGTGTAATTTATTACTACTGAACTTTCCTTACTTGCTATTCCAACTTGCGATAACTTTTTAATCCTTGCTCTGACTGTTATGGATACACGTATTGTCTTAACATTCTTGTTTACGTATCTGATGAGCGGACGACTTATAGACAATCGTTATATTTAGAAATTTATAAAAATTGATAATCATTGCTCATATCGATATTTGTTTGTATGACGTTGAACAGTGTTATAGTCTCAACTTGTTACATACCATTTTCAACCAGTTATATGATACTTTGAAATATTCCAGCGCGTGAAACACGAATACGAGTTTTCATGACGTTTCTAATGTCCATGTATACCGATAGCCATGCACGTTGCAACAAAGTTTAAAGCTACGATTAAGGGTTTCGGTATCGTAAAGATTATAAGATACGATCCTTATTACAGCCAGAGGATGTCTGTACCAAGGCAGCCTATCTTGTGGAAATATTCAAGTCTCAGAATACCTTTGGGGTTGTTTACGAACGTGATAGCCTCATAAAACGATATATTCGATTCTTGATAATAATAATAATTATGATATAAAATCATAATTGTACGAAGTTCAACGCCGGCGGCATGCTCTAATAGTAAACGACTGATAAATAAATTGCATTACTTTAATGAACTAATTAGCCAAGGAGATGACGTCGGATTAATATTATTCCCATAGGGGACATTGAATTACGATTGTGATTAGTTTACAAAAATTTATACCTCACGCGTACAACGGATACTGTACGATTTATTGTACTGTGGACATGTATTTACTATTTACCGTTCTTGATACTTCGATAATCCGCACTATAATTCTGTATTCTTTTTATTCGCTATCAAGAAACTCGATTCCCAATAGTCGATTAATAGTTCATTCCTTTCTGCGTGTCAGAGACATCCGACTCCTAGACTTCCGTGAATATTTGTATGCTCTGTTCTGTCGTCGATAAGCACATCTTCGCTATACCTGCACTTCTCTCTGAGAGCTTTGCTGCATTTGCATGCCGTTGTAAGGAAACAAGTAGCTTTCTCAAGAGTCTTTTAAGTACCATCCACAGAATTTACGACGCAATGGTCAGACAAGGTATGGGCATTTCATCACAGCTTCAAGCACCATGCTTGTCGATTTACATAAAAATGAATCGTTCAATTAAAAAAACAGTAAGTTCAGAAGCGAACACGTACATAAGAATGAGTAGAAATATTTCTTATAAAATCTTCACAATATAGAAAAAAAAACCAGGAAGAGAAGGAAAATAATGTCTGTTGGTAAATTATTTTAGGGATTAAACAGTATACAAAGTTTCCTTTAAAAATTCAAGATCGCATTCGCAGTAATACCGGTTCTCACCGTGTATTATTACTCTATGACGAATATAAAAGCCATACTAAGAAGCGCCCTCGTAGAAGCTAATGATGACAAATATTTGCAACCAAAGTGGTCGGATGCCATTTGCAAGCTGGGAACTTTAAAGTCATTCGTTTCTTCAATTATGTATCGCTTGAATGCAGCGTCTTTTTTTTTCGTTACATGTAAATCCGCTTTTCACAGCGCGCATCAGATTCGCAATTGCGCTGCCACCGTACGTGCGATAATAAAGTCTCTTTAATACCTACATCCCCGCTATTGCTATACACCTACCTCGTGCTAACGCGAAAGCAATTTGACGAATGACACGTCTACTCTTTCGCATCCACCTATTACTCATATAGTTACGGTATCCTCGCTCACGATGGCCGTACGTGCAAAGCGCTACTCTGTCCGACATCGGCGTAACACAAGGCGAACCTTATACTTTTCCCAGTAGATAATCCAGCGCAGATAATCCGGAATTTCATAAGGCACCGGGCAGCGACCAAGCTTCTCTCTCTCTCTCTCTCTCTCATTCTCTTTCTCTCTCTTTCTTCGAGACATTTCCCAGCGGTATCAGGTTCTCAGTGTTATGCCTACGAATGGCATCACGCTTTATAAATCACGAGTCCTGTCACGGCGTTCCAGAAGATTTTACCGCTTCTTCATCTCTTCTTCCGGAGTTTACAATGCGCGACAGTATGGTATAAGGCGCCTACGTCGGCTAATCATAACAGAGAGTTCCAGCGACAAGTAAGTCCCGTCCGCGCCATATTTGCTAACGCGACGCTGTAAAACGTAATTATTATGCCGAGGTATACAAGGCTTTTACCGCGGCTACGACATTTCTCGCGCTCGACTACAACAGTAATGACAACGACGATCGCGAGGACGTAGAAACGTGGCAACTCAAGCCCGCAGCAGCACGTGCTGGGAATGGTACGTACTAACATAAGTAGTGTCGCGCATTTCACCTTCCATGCATTTAATCGTTTGAACATTTTAAGAGACTCTAATGTCGCTTGGAGGACGCTTGGTACCTTAGGACGTTCGCACGTCACTTTGTAACCATTAGAGAGTTATGCTACGATTAGTGCCAATAAAATACTCGCCTATCAAGCTCGCGAGTGAGAAATGCCAGGAACACGTTCCTTTCCTGCGCGACACGTTTGACGCGATGGGAATCTCACGTTCAGTCAGGTGGTCCACGCCGTGAACGAGACACGTAGACCTCTGCTGAATTCTACGTAACATCCACGAGATTTGATTTGTATAAAAAGACGATACTGTCGCACTAAATGATATTTCATAGAAAGGGTCCCATAAAGAACATATAAAACATTGGTAACTATACCCAACTGTACCGATATAAAACATTAGTAAACAATGTCTACGAGAAGCAAAAACTAACGAAATTATAGGTATAATTTCCCTCGGAAGAACTCGAATGGACTTCAAAGAATTCACGACTCTGGATCAAAGTGTGCGTACACCTATATAATACAGTCCCGTCTCATCCATAGGATAAAGAGTGCTGGCGGAGTCAGCCCTGGTTCCCCGTAAAGCCGCCATGGTTAGGAAGACACCGAAAAACTGGAGCATCGTAAAATCTAGGCATTATTAATTGTTCGTCGTAGATGGCGCGTGGATGCGTTTCGCGTATTCCGCTCGCGCGCCCAAGTTTCTTGCCTTGCCATCCCATGTGCGTAGTTTGTGTATTCTTTTTCTGCGGAGCGTCTCAGAACGTGGCGCAAGTACCAGTTTCTCGGAGTCCGGGAAAACTTGTAAAAGGGGACGCCACGCTTACCGCCAAGACGGCTAATTGTTGTAGAATATCAATATTCGTTTTGTATCGATTGGAATGAGAAGAAGCTCGGTATATAATACGAGGTGCGCCATTGTAAATAATCGTATACCATAGATACCCCATTACCTTGACATTCCAATAAGGAGTCGCAAATGGAAGTTGGGTCTCTTATCCAACTCGACCACTACCCGTTTTCTACCTTGTAATATCCGTTGTCGGCGGTCGGATACGTAGGTTCGAGCTACCAGTAGGCAACCGATGCGCATTTTGAGTTACGCCATGACGTTCATCATGGGCAAACAAGCATGCTTCGCGGAATTATGTTGGCAAAGGTAAATGCTGCTGGGGCGGCATTGCAGTGGCAGCGTTATACGTACTGCGATCCTCTCGTAAGCCCCGCGGTTATAAATCGCCGCGGTTGCTGTGCACGGTTAGGTACACGTTGCAGGGATTCCATATTTCAGCAGTTGTAATAATAATGTCGGCATTAGTCTAGTTTTGCGAGAATTATCGTACATTGGATGCGTTAAATCAGCACCGTGGCGTACCTAGGGTAGCACCCCAGACCCACTACTACTGTTATTACCTACTCATTGTCAGCCTTCGGCTACGCACATTCAGAGTTTCATATATAAATATACATACATACTATATAATTGTAAACTTGCTAAGTCTCTGGGTCTAGTCGGTAAATGCTCTTGGGTTAGAGCAGACATTATTGGGATTCCATATAGACGGTGGTGATGGGAGGTACTCTCGGATGAAAAAGGAATTCGCAGAGTCAGTTTTCTGAAATTTAATGTCATAACCCTGCCAAATACAATAATAATCAATAATAATAAAATAATAATAATAATAATCGTAATCAATACTAGTAATATCTAAAATATGTAACCGTCATCTCAATAATAATACGACTATGGACTATTGGATAGGTGTAATGTGCTACACGCGATACTTCGACATATGTACACGATTACTTACTTATTTACGAGCCAATGCTTTTTCACGTAATGCTTTTGTCGATATCAGGTATGTCCAAACCGTGCGATACAATATTTATAGTTTAGCTCCCCATAAAAATCTTGATCGAATGTTGAAATGTATATGCATATACGTGTATACCTAAAATTCATGTAACGCGATTAGGACTCTGGTAAAAAAAATGCCTTGGGACATATCTCGCGCAATGTATATATATATATATATATATAAATATAATTTTTATGCAATAATATATTTATATATAGATGTATTTTCACTATATCCGCACGATACGCCCATCTATATATATATATATAATTTTTCTTCGTCGTTGCAATAAATAAATTATTCAAATAAAGGACGACTAACGATAACGACGTATTTTAAATGTGATTGGAGTCACATCTTGATAAACTATAATATCCTGTAAACGTTAACGAATCTGCGTCCCCATGCGATGCGCATAATAGAGTAGCAAACATTTTAAAGCGGCGCAATTACAATAATAAAAGTTAAAAGTTAATGTAATGCCTTTGTTTATACAGTGAGTCACAATATATTATCGTTTTACATTATTAAGCCTACACAACATATACAATATAGAAATCTTAACAGTTAATAGTTAGTGGCGCGCGGGTCGATACGCCTTACATAAATCCAGTACTCGTCATCCACATAGAATCTGTTATCAGTTACAGGTAAAATTTCATTCTGTATCGATTACACGATTCGATTCATCTGCTTTCCATTTTTTTTTACATTCGTCGATCTTAAAGAAAGAATTAAAAAAATAATATAAATAGTACTGTATTGTTTGACAAAATGACAGTAACTAAGTCATTTAATTTTTCTATCAAGCTCATTAATGCATATCCTAGAGATATTATGTACCAAAGGAAAGTGATGATCGATAAGGAATAATCTAATGGCTATAGCCGCGCGCCTCGTAGTGTATAAATCCGTGCGAGATCCGAGAGAGAATTACTGGCCCCCATTGGTTACGGTTAAGAAAATTATAATGAAATAATCCGCTAACAATCCGTTTACGACAACGGTCAATTTTACAAAGTATTTACAATTATCGTTCTACGCGACTTACGCATCTAATAGTTTCACTTAGGTTTTACGTGAACTTCTGTCTCTATATCCTAACCCGCTACTTGTTTTTTATTCGTTTTATTTTTTTCATTAATTCGCTAGTAGAGAAAGAATTGCTGAGTACAACGCAACGTGCCTCTCTCCGAGTCAATTTTGTCCTACGAATCGCACCATGTCGCTACGTACTTCGTTCTAATCGATTCCGCAAGTATTGTCCGTATAATCATTTCTTTATTTTTTTTTTCTTTCTTCTTTTTTTACACGTATTCGTTTCAATATGAAAGCACCAGAAAGATTTGAGCAGTGAGCGTGATTGCAATTAAACTACGTCTATATGTAGATATTATTGGTGTACGTACTGGCCCTAATACTTGTCTAAGTTTTATTACATTATATTCCTAGGCGGCACTGTAGTTTATTCGAGAGGGTTACAAGATCATCGTTGTTAACTTTCAGCGAATTCTACAACGAATTCAGGTATCTGTATTATCATTGCGCAATCAAGCAGCAGTAGCAGTGACAAACGATGTATTACAGAGAATCTTTAGGTTCGATACGAGCTACTGTCTTGCTATGTGAAACGGAAGGATGTACTACTGAACGAAAAAAAAAAAAGAATATATGATAAGTGAAGAATGTAATTTTGTCCTCTGATTTTATTGTATAATGTAGAATACATCTTGTTACAGCAAATTCTCGTTTCTGGAAAAGTCGTCAAAATGAATCGTTCCTTAACCTGGGGTACTTTTGCGACTGCCAGAGTCGTGTACTGAGGTGAAAATAATTTTTCCGATAAGCAGGACGTTCGAGAATCCAAATAAGAGTATGTTGGTGAGTCGAGCGCGCCGTTTGATTGCCGCTGTGATTTTGAATTGACTGTGTAACCTCGATTAGTCAGTTGTCTGTTATCGTCTCTTAAGGCACTTCAAATGCTAATTTTCCTAGGTGGGGCCTTCGAAGAAAACCGTTTGCATTCAGTTGAAACTCCTTTACCTACTTCCTATCCATTCATGGATCTCCATCTATGGGAAATTCAATAGATTGGTATTACCATAAGAAATAAGCGAGAAATTATTGGGTTTCGTGTGATATTCCGAAGATTTCTGTCAAAACGGATGTACAAAGATTCGAAATGTTGCTCAGCCTTGAATTTTCAAAACGAGAAAAAGCGTCGATACGAGTAAAGACTTGGACAGTATGAAAAGTGAATGCAAAGATTACCAAGTATTTCTGGTACTAATTTCTACAATCTATGTCGATTTATTAATTCAGAAATCATCCCATCAGGAATCTATCAGTGAATTTTAATTTTGCTAAGCATTACCAAACGAATAGATAAACATATATGTATTTATGCACGCTATCAATATTATTGATAAGTTTATTAATAGAATGATTCGACATTTAATTATCAATCTCTTATGAATTTTCAAATAATGCTTATTATAAAGCGAAATTGAATTTTATACAGTCACATAGAATTTGAGCTGATTCCTTTTTCTAACAGTATGTTAGAAACTTTTGACAATCCATTAAAAATCGTAACATGTATGAAACATAAAAAAATAGTGGCATTCAGAGATGACGACTTAACATCAAGTAACATCATTCATCGCTTGCACTATAAGCTCTCAGATTACTGACGCCTGAGTGTTAAAGAAGTTCCTTACAAGGAAGTTACAACGGTATCAGTGATCAAGAGCGTAAACGGCCTCTTGGGTGGCAAGACATCCATTTTCGGATTGAATTTCACAATGCCAAAGATATGAAAAATTATTAATACGCGTCTGGATAAGGCTACGTGAAATACACAAGAATCGGGCTCTCGTGAGAGAAGCACGAAACGTGAGATCATTCTAATAATTCATCCGTGTTATTGACGTTTGAGATAAGAATCAAGAAGATTTTTATCCCCGCGGCCCTTTCTTCCAAAAAATAAAGATGACAAAAAATGACACTGCTTATTGTCGAACAGCTGAAGAACGTAAATGACGGAGCAATGATTTTTCCAGTTTGATATACTATATGTATTTTCGAAAATTCTCGCTAACTGTGGGACGATGTGACGATGCGATAAGTTTTATGAACCTGTGATGATACAGAGAAAACCCGTGGGTGTAATTGAAACATAATTTCTATTGCATATAGGTAAACGAATAAACATGAGTGTTCGCATGACTTAAGGCACTAAAGAGACTTAAGGTCTAACACAATGTTTTCGTTCTTAACCTTAGAAGGCACTATTCTTTTTTTATTCCTTATAGAGATACGACGTATAACAGTGTTAATTTATTATTGCTTCCTATTAATCTTATACGTAGAGGTTTATGATAAACTGGCTCTAGCATATACTGGCATCTTGTTCCATTGTTTCCAAGTTTGACTAACTTTAGTCGCGTATTACTTATGCATTGTTGAAAAGTAGAGGAGCGCCAAGAAATCCAAACGTGTTTCCCGTTAACGGAGTTTGCATCGTTGCGATTTGTCGACGAGTCGTCGGTTGTGTAACAATGCAAAAGGAAGAACGATATACAAGCTAAATGAATTCTAACATTTAATCTATCTACGAAGAATGTCGCGTACTTTTGCGATCCTGCCAAAATACTTACAAGGTGATGCAAGCATGAATTAATGCATTCGTTTTTTTTTTTTATACTCTCACACAGGGTCGGCAATTTTTTATTCTTCCAATTATGGAGTTTCACGGCAACCAGTTACGGAACACCGTGGAATTTCATAACTGAAGAGTCAACCAAAATGACCAGCCCTGCTCTCGCAAATACAGTTCTGGCATCCCTGACGGTAGCATCGGAGTTATTATGCTCTTAAGTCACAAGGATCTGTCACGTATCATCTGTATTTACTTTTACAGTGATTTATCATGTACAAGATATTGAACCAAGTTTTTGTTTTCAAATTAAACTTGTACTTGATGTACGTGGTGATGAATGTTCGAAGATATCGGCTTCGCGATTTAAGAATACCATCCGATCTGCAAGCTCAATGAAAATTCGGCATCGGTCATATATGTACAGTCACTTTACTGTTAACGACAACAATTCAAGCTTACACGGAACAAAAAGTCATGCGTGTTTTGATATTATGCTGGATTTTCTGACGAGCACGTCAATTGCTTAGGCGTATACGTTTTGAGCTAACGTGGAATTTTTGATGCCAAAGTAAAATGTGAATAAGCCCCTTTGATAGCAACGAGAGCACTGTATGCGTACAATTGTCACGTGACACTTTCTACTTTAGCACCTTTTGCAAAATATTATTATTACTATTATATAGAGTAAGATATACTGTCCATAAACTGGCATTATTTTAGTTCGACGCTGAGCGCGTATTGCTTCCTTCTGATCGATTCGAATTACATGATCAAACATTGTTGCCACGCGACAAAATGAAGAATCTTTTTTCTTTTAAAGTGGCACGACGATCTATCGTACTTTCTTTTTCCGTAATTTATCTTCGTATTATTTTATTGTGTTGCAATTGAATGTATTTCTGTAATACTGGCTTTTTAGAGTTTTTCCTTTCTTTCTTCAATTTCTTAGTAAATCGTCGATGATTGTCCTTCCCTAAACGCGAAATTCTTTGTGCCTTTCGTATTAGCGCTAATCGTTTATAATTGCTTATGATCACGATTGTATTCATTTAACTGAGCATGCTAAGTCCCAAGCTCCGTCACCGGAGTTTAATATTCTCTTTATTATCTATTACTCGATAATTACCTTAATGTATTACTTTACTGGCTCTATTTTTGACGAAAGGTATTAACGATGCTCTAGACTAGTTGAGCTGGCCTTATTCAAACGTATTAAATAAACTGCAATTTAAAACAATTAAAAATTGGCTAGAAACAGAAATAATGCTTTTCTCTCATTCGTGTCATGCTGAACCTGCAGCGATTTTTGCTTGTCTAGCAGATTAAAAATTTGTTACTTTTACAAACATTATGAGTATTTTTCTATCCGAAACTTCGAGAAAAACCTGGAATATGATCACCAAATTGCCAGTCTTAACAAAGACGTTTAAACATTTCGTATTATAAAAAAATCATTTCCTAATCGCACAACAATTTAGTTCAGTGATCAATATATATAAATATCCAAAATTTCAATTAAAGAATCGAAATTATTATACGACTGGCAATTCTTGTCCCCAGGAATTCGATCTCTCATGTCGAGATCCGCTTGTCATCCAGTTCAGAACAACGTAAGGACATTTGCAGCCGATACAAGTGTACGAAATTTTATATTTCTACGGAAATGAGATTCCACAAACGTATTCTATTGATTTTACCATTTTGAAACAGATGTCAAAGGCGAATCACGGAAATCAGCGAGATTACCGAAATCGCAAATAGCCCGAATGGCGTTTCCGTAGGATTCGATGAGAAAAGAAACCTAAAATGATAAATTTATCAAAAATTCTCTTATTTTCCCTGACTCATCCGCACGTGTCTTTTCCGAACTGTCTCGGTTAGCCGCCAGCGAGCTTGCATCGTCGAACAAACGAACTCGCAAAAATTTCTTAAAATTTAAAAACACAGCGTTGACAGCTTCACACGATTATATCATATATAATCATTCAACTATCATTTTCTCTTATTAAGCTCTATAATCTAGTGAACGTTTTTCCTAGTTTCGCCCTCCTCCTCGTGACAGCCGAAGGACACGGCGCTGTTACGCCATTCCGTATACCGTCTGCCAAGGAGAAGTTCTTCAGGTCCCGAATGTAATCGTCATCTTGTCCTAGGATCAGTGAACTTTTGACCAGGGGCGGTTCATCAGTGCCTCTTCATATGAAGAGATAGGTGGTCGCTTCGCGAGAAAGATCGTTGACAAAGATGGCACTTGAACGGCTTTTGTCCCGTGTGTTTGCGATAATGTCGCGTGAGTTCATCCGACCGTGCGAACTTCCACGTGCACCCTTCCCACGTGCACTGGTAAGGTTTCTCTCCTGAAACAAAAAAAAAACACACAAGGATCCTAAAGATTACTTCAAACAAACAAAATAAATTCAAAATGAACCATCCTCGTATACTAAAATTATAATCCAGGTGCACGTTACTGTCCGCTAAATTATATAGTGGTGGAGTAGAAGAATGTTGTTCTAAAATTATCTGCACCTCGCCACAAAGCCAGACGAATAATAAGAACGGGTTAATTGGGACAATTATAATTATGAGCATCACGAAGTAACGAATTATTGCGCGGATAAGATGAGCAGTCACGAGCTGTTTTAAGCCCAGCAGTAATTACCAACTGAGATGGTCTCTGCTTTTGCATCTCCTTTGCATTCGGTAAGTAACGCTAGACAACGAAGGAACTTTTCCGCATTTGATTTCCGTGTTCCGTTTGCGGAACCGTTGCGCCCATTCATGTCGTTCAGCAATCATTACCGCGTATACCGTATTGTGAGGTTCCTATATGATTTCGTAATACGTCACTGATTATTAAAGCGCACCTATTTCGTATAACGACAGAACCACAAAGCGTAATGGGGTACGGTGTGCAACTTCCGGCGAGAGTCTCGATACTGGATCCAGCAACCCGTCATTAACTAAGTCAACGACGATAGTAGCACAACAACTTCATCTACTATTTGTTTTTCTTTCTTAACCAATGATAATGTACGCTGAGAAATTCGAAGATAGTCCGTGTATAAGCAGCGTGTACACATAATTATGTAATATCCTGTATCTAATCGTATGTAATGGTCAAAACTGTAATTCAACAGTAACGCTCATTTATCGTCACACGTTTTTCTACCTTCACTTTGGATGCTTTGACATTTGTTTTTATATATATATTTCATTTTTTTGTTGCCTCGTAGAAACGTGAGATTGATGCTTCATCGTGTGTGATTTGAGAATTTCAAAATTGAGTGACGCTTACTAAGTCAAAATAATTTCCGCTTTTTTTTTTAACACTGTGAATGATACATACAATTATTGTTAATTATACATGGACGTATTACGGGTATACGAAAAAAAAAATTAATTGATAATATATTATATCTCTTTTTTTTCATACGATCCCAATCTCGATTGAAATCACAGTATAAAACAGGCTCAATGAAAGTGAATGAAAATTCATATGAGACACTAATCTTCCTATCTCAAGCAAGTGCCAAGACGTTACGTTCAGTCTGCATTTACAGCCCTACTCCACGCCCTACAATCTTAAATTGACGCAAGAAAAAATCCATTAGAAGCAATTAAAACTATAGTGCATTCAAAGAAACGATTACGTATATACACTATAATCGCTATAAAAGAGCACTCCAAGAGTCGTTAAACAAATCCACTAAAATCTCACGACAAAACCCGAATCAAGTACAATTAATATTTAGCAACGTTCCACATTAAAATATATCTGCTAAAACGATTTCTAGTATAGGATAAAAATTCCAAAATTCAACGTCCGCCTCAATATTCAAATAATACTTTTCTAACCATCCTCAGCAGTCCATCTCTTTCCGACAGCAGTAGAGTAAACGTCCAGAGAATATCCTCGGACACAAGGAGTCCGATGTTATCAGTAAGTCGAGTGAACGTCACTTCACACCCAATTATTGCCAGACCCCGGTTATCTCAGCCGTATTGTGCTAAAGCATCGACACAGCTTCGTTACATCAATGCGCGGACCGCGCACTCTTATCAGTGTTCTCGTCCGCGTGGCTGACAGCTGTCGCGCGCGTCTCAAACGGGCACGGATCTCAGAACTGCCCATCACTCTTCTATTGTATTCACGTCCCGTAGCCATAGCCGTGCTTGCGCCGCTTTCACGCAAGTAACTCGAACTCTCCAGCACGTAGACGTATAGGTGAAACAGCACCGGTCACATCTCGATGACGCAATCGGCATCGTCCAACCACTGACCGACGAAGACGAACTATCAAAGTTCAAATCAACGATACGAGCCTATTACCGCTAGAGTGAATCCGGATAATGGGATCATTGACAATCGGGATGCTGCGTTCCCGTCCTGGATCTCCGCTAGACGCTGATCGTTATCCGCACCGTTGTCGTCGCGACGGTGGTACCGCGAGTTACGTCCAAGGACGCCTCGATGATTCCTAATCAGCAAGGTCTTTTTGAACGATGTGACGAATGGGGCAGGGGTGTCGCGCCGAGGGACTTATTGGCGAATATAATGCCTATTATGTAAGTTGGCACGGAAGGAGGGGGCCGAGGGGTATAAATTAATGATAGGGAAGAAATGCACTGCGGCGTTGCGTAATTGTGAGTAATTAGTCCATTTACGAGCGTTGCACGATATATGGGTCTATAGGAGTGCACGTGAGCGGCCTAGAGAGTACACAGGACTATCAGGCATTAATTCCCTCGTTATTAATGCATTTTGATTGTATTTTTGTGAATTAGCATCGCGTTTATTGCATCATAGATTAACGCCGCGTTACCTCCTTGATCACATTAATTAACTGCGGTACAGTGACGTAGACCGTTCGTTTGTTACTTTGCTCGTTGGGTATTATGGGGTGAAGTACGGTTACCGAGATGATTTATACTGCGAATTATTCGCGAACAATTAAAACACTTCTATTCGATATGCTACGGGTAGTGGAATTATTATTAGAAACTTTATCGAATCTGGTCACGCTCTTTAAATGCGCAATATCTACGTTCATATTATCACATTACATTTTATTAAAATTCGATTGTCGATCGGTACACTTATCCAACTCAATCCTATTCAAATACCATTCTTTCTATGGGGTTTCCACATTTCATAAAATGACTTTAAAGGTATTAATAAGAATGTTTATTCAAATAGTGGTATTTTTAAATAAGGACCATTCTTAATTCACTTTTGAAACACATACGGACTCGTGTAAAGACAGCGCGAGTTAAAGAGTGACTTTAATGAGATCCCACTGAGACGCTTTTACGAGCATTCGTGGTCGGTCTTGAATATAGTTTCCAAGTGGTAGTCGTACCATGGAGGAGCATTCAAGTGTTTACAACTATAGCTTTAGTACGTTGTTGGTATAATACGTCGAATTAACGTCTTAAGTAGAAGTTGATTAGAGGTTCCGCGGATGCGTGAACAGGGCAAAACAGCGGCGTTCGGACACGCCCAAGATTCCATGAAGGATTAACGGCGGCTCTCGACGTCTACGGACGCTCGCCGAAAGTGCGTGAGAAAAATCTCTTGCGTCTCGTGCTACAGCCTTATTATGACTTTATGGCGAGATCGCGAGTTCCGTCGACTCTGATTCCTCGTACGAAGACATCGACGGTCGTTAGGGTTCGCGCAATGTTTTATCCTCATTTCCGGGACAAAGGCTAACCCCTATAGTATGGCATTCGGATCGGCACTGGTGTGTAGAGCACTTTCGTATAATTACGTACACGGAAGGCGACTACGGTGGACGCGATCAAATTCATAAATCATAGATTACTGCCAAGGCACCTTGAGATAAACTCGCTAAAGTAGACATATACACATAGAAAATCTCTATAGATATACCAGTTTTGCTTTGCCTATAGTCCTCACGCGTTGCCAATTATTCTCTGTTACATATGGATCGTCATTTTTCTCGACCGTCTTACGTTACAATTTCGCAGAGACTTTTGAATCTACATCCAGGTTCACCGAAATATCAGAACGGTCCCACCGATCTCCCATATCCCGGACACGGCCTTTGACCCCGAGCACGGAAAAACCCGAGCATCACACTCGCTGGAGATCTACGAGAGTCTCGACAATCTTCTCGTCACTTCCCGCTCCTATAGCGAAATCGCAAAGTCATCCTCGACCAGGCAGGATTCGTTCGCCGGCTGTGCGATAGGCACTATGCGAAAAATTCCATATGGTGGTACATTCATATATGTTAGTGGCATACATCATGCGTTACGCGGTACCTTGATAAACGTGAATCCAAAGTTATATTGGGAGTGGATTCTTAATTATTTCATTATCGCCTGCCGAGAATCTCGACACGTTGTAGTTAAACGTGTACGCTGTGCACGTCGGAATAGTACGTTAACGGTTCTGGGCACAGGAAATGATACCGAGAGGAGGGACAGGAAGAAAATAAAGAATAAAATAAAAATTAACGTTGACAGCATAAGTGGCGAGAAACACGAAGAAGCCGACGGTTGCAAATTTTTTATTTATTACTGTACCTGTGTAACACTTAGAGAGCAGCGCAATTTCTTATAGTTTTATTTATTTTTCAACATCCACGATCGTTAATGATCTATATTCGATTTTGTGGAGAAAAAATATCTAGCTCGCGTGAGATACCGCCGATTTGATTATAAACGTTTTCTCAGAAATAACTATCCTCCCTACGTGGTCCATGTCCAGGTATCTACTATGGTCCTGACCTTCCCTCTGAGAAATACGAGTGCATTTTTAATCGTATACCTCGCCGGTATGGGATTATAAAGTTCGTTCGCGAATAAATCTACCATGGACCATGTTGTTGGTATGGTGGTCTGAGCCGCGTATAACGTACACGCATGTATATCTATAATCGTTGTCTAGTTTATGCCAAAGCTAATTCGCTTTAATTAATACATAAGTTCGACTTAAACCTCCTCCTGTCTATCAGAGGTCACGCTAGTCCGCTGCTATGGAGTCTAACATTCTGGTGATTCCTCAGCAGTGTTCCTCAATCGGAACATGTATATATACTTACATGCCGAAGTATGATGAGTTCTCCCTTACGGTATAACTATCCATTATATGGTGCTAAGGGATTCTGTCCTTAACTATTCTTTATCCATATAGGATCGTTGTTAATACCTTTTCACACGGTATACCATGCAAGCATCTCTAACAGTCTTTAATCACATAACCATGAGATTAGCTGGCGGCCATGGCTATTACTAGCTCGTAACTATCCTTACGCCATAGTGTCCATGCGATGCGTTACTATCTGAGCGCGCGAGGAGATTTTGCATGTTGCACGTTGGTAGTCGCGGATAATACAGAAACCAGACAGCAGCTGCCCTATGGTCATTATAATACCAGTAACACAGGCCTATGCAAATTCGATGCAAATTATCGCGGAAAATTCATGAGAATCGAACTTGTAACGTGTCAGTTGTTTTACGCTGGAGAATTCGCAAATCGTTTAAAGGGACACTTGAATTTACCGATTCCCATATCTACGTCGATATTAATGCAAATTGGGCAAATCAGTACGGAGCGAGTGACGAAAATTGCAATTGCAAGAAATATACGTGACTTTACTCACGGAAATGTGATACTGATTGGCATCGCCTATAATTGACCATTCGTACTGATACTGATAAAGCGTCGAAGTTATCTCGGAGAGGTAGGAATAATTTTCGCGGGAGTTTCAAATTGTGCGAAATCCAAGAGCTGATGATTTATCGAGTGGAAGGTGGTGGAATTACGGTAATCAACGAATTGGCATTTCCCACATTGGACACGCGGCTTAAAGCACCTTCGGAAGATATCTGGATAATAGGTAATAGTCCAGTGTTAGAATGATAGATTGTCGGCAGTTACGTTAACTCTACGTTGTAGGTATACTGCTAAGGTACAATCGTAGAAACAATTATTTCGTAGAGCACAATACCCGAAGGGAGTGCTGACTGGCCTTTGCATTCTGAATCACGACTAGGATTTCATAAAACTGTCCGCAATAATAGACGCTTAATGCACGAAGCGTGTTCGACTCGTTACACTGCGTTCTTTATTACGTGATGATTTTCTTGCAAAACAAAAGGTACCCAAAATTTTTGTTCATTATATATATAACTATATATGCCACTCGCGTACGGTTGAGAACCGTCGCTTCCCCGTGCACCCTGGACCAGACAAAAGATCCTGGTTCTCACGACCACGCCCTCCCCACCACCTTACCTTCTGGATGATGGCAATGATTCACCAAGCCATCTACCGGAAATTCTCTAACCACGACTTTCAACGGAACGCCTTCTACGAGTTCTGCCGCTTCCCGAATCAAGAATCGCGGTCATTATCTTTCGATCGAAAGCAAAAGGCGCCATTGATCGCTTTAATGTCTGATTCCTTTCTTTCTATTCGGCAGACGTATCGCAATAACGTAATCAAATTATTATTAGATGTTATTACGACAACTTTGTAAAATCGAGTGAGTCACTCGAGATCTTGACGTACGTATAATCGTACAGTCCTCGTGGGGAATGATTAACTAATAATTAAATGGAGGTATATAAATTTTCCCGTGGAAGCGTTCCTGGGCATTCGGTAATCATGCAGCAACGACTTAACGTGGGAGAATAGTCTTAATGACGTTAATCTGCATTGAAGTAAGGCTCGGGGCACGGACAAAAGTGATTTCCTTTTACCTTTTACGTTGACTGCGCGATATGTCCGTATTCACGACAAATGGGAAAGCGAGTCTCGCGGGATAATGACATCCCCATTACTCCTATTAATTAACTCCATTTTAAGTCAATTTACCGGAGCGGCTTGAGCCTTGGCTCGTCATTGGAACACAATGTGCCTTGATACTCATTGTGCCCTTATGCTTTTTTTCTACGTGAGTAATATTGTTAACGTAATACGTATCTGTGGATGCTGTGAAATTATGCAAGTAAATGTTAGAATGACAAATATATCGTTCGGTAACGTAATGCATTGCTGGACGATTTAATTTGTTTTAACGCGCGGTAGCGACGTCTGTTAACATGGATCGTTCATCATGATTCGCCGTCTAGTGGCATTTGTTTATGCATAGTATGATAAATGAAGTTGGTTGTCGAAAGGATGTTGTCCGTGCGAAATCTCGAGTCATTACGTTAACCACGGAACGGCGGGAACTTTTGAAATGCTTTGCAGATTTCTATGATATTACAATATATAGGGTGTCTAATAAATAAAATTATTGGATTTTTTAATTTTAATTATTTTTTATAAATTTTCATAAAATTACTCTATTAACATCGGTTCGAGACTTACCCGTGTGAGTTCTTTTATGAGCTTTCAAATGCGAACTCTTCGTGTAGACCTTGTCGCAACCCGCCACGTCGCATCGATGAACTTTACGTCTTTTCAGTGCATCTCCACACTCACTGTCAACTCCAAGACTGCCATTTCCACTAACACCGCCATTGCCTCTGCCGCCAATTCCTATGCCTGCTGCCAAGACAGGCCGCTTGTGAAATACTCTGTAATCAGTAAAACCGTGAAAAATTAAAAATCAACTATAAACGCTCCTTCGTGTAAGAATTATGAGATTACAATAATTTCATACAGAAATTCAAATGAAATTATTACATAAAAACCGAGCAATAAAATATCTCAATTAGTACATGAAATCGGACATCCCATGTAAGTGTAACATTACTTTTGTATCCCCTGATCATATGGGCATGATAAAAGTCATAGCATGATTTTTCGTAAGTTTATTAATATTGATGTTAAAATGTATACGAGCGTGCTGGGAATATGTAATTTTTTCTAGAATAGAATCAAAGCAAGTATACACGTAGAAGTCAGAAAAAAATGTAGAATCCGTGCATCCAAGGATGCGTACGTGCGTGCCTCGAGTATCGTCGAGTTCGCAGAGTTTGCCGCTTTGTTTTTCCACTATCAAAGCCATCCACGCCATGCCAATCGGATGCGATTCGATCGGATCATGGATTCAGAAGTTGGATGGTAGCCGGCAAGAAACGGTCAACAATAACGGGAGCGGCCTGCGTACAGGCTTCGTGCATTGCAGAGAGACCGAACCACGGACATACCTTCAGGGCAATATATCCTTCAATGACTAAAGTCATTGCAGTCACACCGCGCCTCTACATTGGTCCTGATCGATACTGTCAAGATCCCTGAAGAGCGGTAGCTTTACTTTTTACTTCCTCGGCAGAAGGCATTAAAGTATACCTTATACTTACTAGGACATCGGTTATGACAACTATGGCGATAAGAAATTCGACTGGCACGAGCATCTCTAGATACAAATGTCAACACTAGAATCCAGAAGAAAACGTAACGACTTCATTTTAAAAAGGATCAGTAGATATATATATATACATACCTACTGTACTACCGACGAAGAAAACTTTGTCAATTAAACGAGAAAGGAAATTGTGCGTCTCAATATAAAAGATAGTAAGTGAATAGAAGTTTGATTTTATTAAGGCCAAGAGCTGACGATTCCGTAATCCACGAACAAGTGAAAAGTTAAGCGTCAATTAAATTCCTAGAGGACAGTCATCACAAAGCAAACCGCAAGGAACACTTCACAATCTGCGACTTTGCTTACTTTCGTTTTCGCGCCGTATTATTAACGCGGTTAAAAATTCATGAGCTCGACTTACCAATTCAACATTATAATGTAAACCCTCGTACCGCGAATTCACTCCGATTACAGTTCTTAATCTTAATGGCCATAGCGGGAGGAACGTTCACAAAAGTAATCTCCCGTGACGAATGCGTTATAAAAGTTTCATTTAATTTTAAAATAATAACCCGTTCGATGACGATCTCTCAATTATTTACCATAAAATCCAGATAACACCGAGTATTTAACGCGTTCTGTTTGATACCAATAAACTACGAAGCGTACAGTGAGGCTGCGCGTTACGGTTGGCCGATCTATTGCCGAAGTCGTATATCATCTGGACAAAGAGCCTTCGCACGTTATACATCGTAAAACGTAGAAGAAGCAGTATTTAGGATAACATAAATCCGTTTCGCACGAGATAACGAAACGCGTCTAGTAGTGACGCCTCTAGCTGAGCCAGACGTAATGCAGTCCCGATACACATTCGTATATTGTATATGTATATAGTTATGCTAACGTTACCGGTTAAACCTCAACTGTACACGCCTCCCCTTGTGCGGGGTTTGCACCGTGAGTTGCAAGAACCGGATACCTTAATTTACTGCACACAATAACTCCCACTGAACGCGATAGAAACAGCTCGCGTCTCGCTTAATTGGATGAGCGTTAATATATAATTATTTCTAACGCACGTGGAACCACGTGATTTCCTGTATACATGTAACTGAAAATCGCATTAACGTAGCACACCACAACATTGACTTATACATTGAAATTATGCAATGACGATTACACAATGTCACAATCAATCTCTATAGATATAAGATAAATTAATTCAATTATATACTGTACTTATTTTCTTTTACTTACAAAGAAGCTTCCTTTATCCTCTGCAACGCCAGAAGTGCTGCCGACGAGGAGACGAATACAGGATCTGGCGGTTCCATCATACATACGGAAACCTCGCGTTCCCTGTCCCAATCCCTGTCTCGTTGTCTTCCACGCTCCCGTTCCCGTTCCCGTTCCCGTTCCCGTGTCTCTCTCTCACGTTCTCTTCCCGTATCTCCTTCCTGTTGTCGTCCCCTCTCTCGTTCAGATTCTCTGTCACGTATTCTTTCTCTTTCTCTCTCCCGCTCTCGTTCCCTCTGTGTATCCCTCTCGCGCTCCTGATCCCTTTCCCTGACGGCATCTCTCACTGACAATGATGGTGACACTGGAACAAAAATATATATCATAAAAATCATGTCACAACAAGGAACAAGGAGAATAGGAAGAAACTGTATCATTCTAATATAGAAAACGTGGCCTTTGATTGGCTTCACTTCCGCGAGACCTTCGCCGAGACGATTTCTTCGGAGATTCTATTGAAGTTTTCCATGAGTGACGTTTCAGAATAATTTCCTTCGATATGGTCGCATTAGTCGTTATTGTCGTTGCGAAAGACAGTAAAGTATATTTATGCTTGACGAATATGAAAATTAATTTTTTTATTCAAGCAGCCATCCACTTGGCTGATGTTCTCTATGCTAGACATGGTTATATGGTATACTTGTTATGTGTAAAATGAGGTGATCAGCTTTAGCCAGTAACGTTTCCACAAATCATCGAACTGCGATATATCGGGTCAACGACTGTGTACAGCGAAACATGTCACGATCGTCCTACAAGAGCCGAGAGCTTGCTGGTATTTTCTAACGCTTATGAATATTGTAATAGTCAATGTGAGATTCATGTGCGTCTACCGGGGCTGCTGCCGGGGTTTCTTGCGATTCTCGCAAAGCGACAAGCATGTTAAATACCCGTGACATTACTGTTACTAATTAAAGTTGCATGAGAGCCAATACCTTGGCGGCTAGAATTTCCGGAATGTGGAATCGTAACGGCCATACCGGGTTTGCACTGAAATTTATTGGCTTATGGATATTCCTGGATGAATTTCAGTTCGAGCTTGATGATCGGTTTATTTGATTATTACAGCGCCTACTGGTTGTTTGATTTATGGTAAATTTTACAGAATGCCCTTTATACGTGTAGCAATACGTAACGTCGCGAGATCACATGCGATTTTTATCTTCGTAGTCTTTGCAGTTTCTCTGAAAAAAACATGACTGTATTATAAAGAATTGCGTTATCCTCAGAGCTCCGTATATTTCTGCGCGACATACATTAATGAACTGTCCTAAAAGAAACCATGGAGACTTGTGTAAACTTGACGGAACATTGGGTACTCCGCCTTATCAGGAATCGTAAGAGACAAATACGTGTAGTTAGCGAAAACGGCCAAGTGACAGTCTCCGTTTTGTACATTTCGTAGAAGCATACGAAATATGCGCAGGAATGAAAATTGTTTATGAACCCATACAAGAGTCCCGTACGATACACCATAAAGATTCGCAAGAACGTCAGATGACCCAACTGCAATTCATGGATTTACATTCGTATTGCATCACTGTCCCCCGAAAAAATTATATCACGTAATTCCATCGAGTCTCGTAAAATAACTTGAAATCCTAAAACCATAGATCAAACGTCCGTGAAACAGCTCGGTAGTAGATGCATTTATAATTTATCGACATACAAGCCAAGTATGTACGTACGTAACCCTAATTTCCACTTATATACCATATAGCCATCCGCCGCGAGAGGATCCATTAATGTCAGCTGATTATCCCTCAATTTGGCAGATTCGAAAAATCCACGGTACATTCCGGTCATAAATCGGCGGATTAACCTCGGCGTTTAACATTATCAATTACCCCTGGCCTCCTGGAACCATCGGTGGAAAGATGAAACATGTAGGTAAGAGCAAAGAGAACGTACCAACGTGAATAGGAAGATGAACAAGAAGGTGAAACGTGGTAAGAGTGCATTATTACCGATAATGCTCTGGGGTTAAGTTAGGCCGTAGGTGAGAGAGACGGCAGGTCAGACTTACATCAGACAGACTTTTCAGTTGCATTGTGGACTCGTACTGTCCATTAGGCTTCCCAAGATCATAGACCTCAGGCTGGAGTTGGCATTAACGATTGTAACGAGATGACAGGGATATGTGAGTTCAAAGAAAAAAAAAGTGAATTCGCAGAACCCTCTAATTAAGCTACTTGGGGATATTCCTAGAACGTGGAAATTATGGGTAATAATAGTTATGTATATATATACCGAGTCCACAATGTTGCACTATTCAGAATAATTATGATTATTGATTCTTGTCAGAACGATAATGAGGCTAGGTATAAAACGAGGATACAGGTATATATGTATATTTTTTTATTGACTTTTGGAATCGATAATTCAACGTAACGATTATGGTACTGTGTCTTATGTCGAAAGAGATATATTAAGTTTCGTAGTCGTGGGTGTAAAATAGAAAGAACGAGTTCTTCCATGTATCATGGAAGTGATAGTTGGAATTGGAAATACGATACTTGGTCTAGTGAAGCCAGACGGTATTGGAAATACTTGTGAACTGCCTTAAAGTAAGATTCCTTAATTTGGCGTGAGCCTGTTTAACGGTTATAGGACATAAAAAAAGAAAATTTTAGATTCGAATAATCGATATGAGCTTCGTGGTTGACAAACGACGACGGATTGAGGTCGCACCTTGATAAGAAGAGGGTAATTCCAAAAGCTGTAAATTACAAGGAGCTAATTATCTCTTTGTCCAGCGGCACGTTACCACAAAGTTATTATCATGAAGCATTGCCTCGTGTATGTTAATTGACAAAGTAGTAATTATTTACCGGTGAAAGTGAACGCAAAACGGAACAAGCAAGTAGACTGAAGTAAAAAGAGAAAAATGAGGACTCGCCATTAAAAAATTAATTATCGTAAAAAAAAAAATGAAGGAAAAAAAAGTTCAACTTGACTTACCGATGCCTCATTGTTTATCTAAGCTATTGTACGACGTACAGTAACATATAAGCAAAGATCGTGAAAAGAGCGGGTTAATTTTTCGATAAATCATTATTTATTGTTGCGATGGCACAGGAGATAAGAGGAGAGCGATACTGCAACAATGTGTAACCAGGATCGTACGCCACAAAGGCGTGAGAACATCGATACTAATGGTCGACGGGCAGCTCGTCGTGTTCCTGGATAGGAGATAGCATCATCTCTAACCGTGATATAATGTCATAACTTGAGAAACGAATCCAGGAGTCAATGCGTGTAGATGTGTAGCGATGAACGAGTGCAACAATATTGCACAAGAGTAAAGAATCGTACATCGCGTACGTGTGAAGAAAAAATGTTTAATTCATACTGAATTAAAAAAAAAAAAAAAGAAAAGTAACTCCTTGCTTAAGACCACTCGCTATGCATATGGTATCTGACTTGAATATGCACGTGTGGCAGAATGAAAAAAAAGTTTCGAGAAGGAAATGCATATCACTGACAGGTACGATCCGTTAACCGAATTCCAGACTGATAATTACAGGACTCCTCTCATTCTCAATCACTGTACTTTTGCCTTTTCTTTTCATTGCATTGCTACCACATTAAGCCGCTTTCTTACGATCAGACTCTAACCACACGATATTCGACACGTCGCCTGCGGACCCAGCGCGAAAACTGTTATCGTATTCACTGCAGTAAACCTGTACCAGTTATTCGGCGAGGATCACCAGTCAAACGGTAACTATACGGTCGTATACAATTGACACGAAACGAATGGATCCTTATGCACGCAGATGCACGCTTTCTGAGAGAGAATAACGAAATTTACTTTTTAAAAAATTACTAAAGATCACTTTGATTTTAAAGTCACTTAAATGATTCTCTTTAATTTTCACTCCAGACGCGTACTGTCGATATTTATAAATTTTCGCAGAAAGAACGTTCTTTCGGAAGTGACTTCAAGTTGCTTGTAGCAGAAACTATGTTTAGGCTTTGAGACACGCAACCTCGTTTTCAATGACGCGAGGGCGACTATAAATCGTCGATGTGGGGCGGAACGTGGAGGTGCCGATACCCGATAAATCTATCGACGAGTGATAGACGAGCCCTAGGTGGTTAGGCTGGCCGGCTGTTCGTTCGTTGAGAACGGACACTTCAAGAGCAAGCGGCGCAAGTCGCGCAAGATGCGCAAGATGCGCAAGCGTTAGTTGTATATGCACTGTCCATGCGGTGCATCCGAGGAGTAGTTGCACATGCGCTCACCTGCGACATGCTAGCAGATGAGCTATGCGTCGAGAGCGCGTGGTGGCTTAAGAGAACGATCCTTGAATACCTTCGTGCAAGATTGCACTCGAGGTTACCGCAAGTAAGCCAGACATGTTTGATTACCACTATCGATGACTATTAAGTAGCGTTTATTTAAGGAACAAGGCAGTCTTGCCGCAGCATCCCTGTCGCGATAAAGACTACAGAAATTTACAGGTCATCGGGTCCACGATTGAAGATACAATACAGTAGAAAATCTACAACACCGTGTGCAACCACTGGAGAGATTTATCCGCTTTGTGGATGCTGTAAATTTTTTTAAATCAAAATAAGCGGATACGACTGTCACCAGTAGTCCGCATATAACTAAATAATCGGGATAGGAATTGGGTAAAAAAAATTGTCAAGTTACGTCATAACCTTCGGAAGAATGTTAGAGGTGCATCGGCGCGCGTGTTACGGTAAGAAGCATGCATGGTACACACGTGAGGATCTTCACTGGTAGGCTAATAAATTTCGATTTTTCACCAGCGGCTTCCTGTGTGCCCCCACCACTCGCTAACTCTCAAGCCGTTCGCATATTTTTCCCTAGCTCGAAAGAAAAAAAACCCGATTACAAGGATAATAAATTAACGCATACGACCTTATCGAGCCTTATAATTCATCAAGCTGTTACGTGTTCACCGCAGTTCCCTATAGCCGCGGGTTTTGCACATTAACCTCGTAAAACTCTAACGGCATTCAGCCATACGCCAATGCGTGGAGTTTACTCTATGAAAATGCATAATACGATAGTGCTTTATAATGCGGTATAAAAAGCTTGTATATAGCCAATGCGATCTACATTCTATCAATATCAATGAATCGTTCCTTAACGATTCAACCCGTAGCTAAATAGCACCAAACAAACGATACAGGTGCTCCTGGTGAATTTGCACAACAGCTGAAAAAAAAAGACCTCATCTCGATTATACTTACTGCTAAAGACCGGCAATAACGCCAAAACAGTTAAGCGCATCGGTAAGCTATTCAAGTAAGAATAACAAGTCAGCC